TTTTTTTTTTTTTTTTTTTTTTTTTGGTACCGGGGATCAAACTTGGAACCTTGTGCTTGCAAGGCAGGCAGTAGCACCACTGAACTACATCCCTGGCCTATTAATAGCGTTTTTATATGCCAACAGTGAGCTTGCTAGAAAGAAAATGAAGAAAGCAGTCCCATTCAAAACAGCTACAAACAAACAAGGAAATATACTTATGAATAAATTTAGCTAAGGAAGTAAAAAACCTACAATCAGAATTACAAAACATTGATGAAAGAAATGGTAGAAGAATTAATGTTGTTTAAATGTTAGTACTACCAAAAACAATCTACAGATTCTGTGCAGTCTCATCAAATGACACTCTTCCCAGAACCATGAAGAACAATCCCAGCATTCATATGGAAGCACACAAGATAACTGAGTAGCCAGGGCAATGTAGAGTTAAAAGGAGCAAAGGTGAAGTTGCCACAAAACCTGAAACGTTAACAGAAGTAGTTAACAAAACAGCATGAGATTGACATTACAAGCATATATAAATAGATCAGTGGGACACAGTAGAGAGCCCCAAATAAGCCTATGCATCGAAGTACATACTTTGGAGAAAGGACAGCCTTTACAGTTAGAGATACTGGGAAGTTTCTGTGTGCATAATATTGAAACTTTACTCATCTCTCACTCTATACAAAAATCAGTTCAGGATAGACCAAAGAACTTAAGTGTTAAGGCCTGAATCTCTGGAAACAGTAGAAGAAAACATAGGGAAACACTTAAAGACATTGAAACTGGTGATTTATGGATAGGGCCCTAAAAGCACAGAAAACAAAAGCAAAAAGTAACAAATGGAATTATGTCAATCTAAAATAAAGTTTCTGCACAGTAAAGGAAACAACAGGGTAACGAGACACTCTAAAGAAAGAGAGAAAAATACTTGCCAACTATTTATTTGATGGAGGATTAAAATCAAGAATATATGAGGAACTAAAAAAGTGAGCAAACAAAAAACCTAGGCAATCTACCAATTGTAAATAGACAAATGAGGTGAATAGACACTTTTCAAAGGAAGAAATACGAATGTCCAGCAAGTACTGTATATGAAAAAATAACTTTCATTGGCTATCATGAAATGCAAATCCGAACCACAAGATACCCTCTTATCCCCATTAGAATGGCTAAAAAACCAAAAAGTAATAATTGCTGGCAAGGATATGGAAAAAATGAACTTTAATACACTTGGTTGGAATTTATTTTACTATAGCCATTATGGAAAACAGTGTTGAGATTCACCAAAATAGTAAAATTATATATATATGGTATATGTCCAATGGAAGTAAAATCACACCAGAGAGATAACCTCTGTGCCCATGTTTACTGTGGCACTATTCACAATAACTAAGATAAGAATCTGCCTAGGTACTTATGATCAGATGAATTGATAAAATGTGGTATGTATACAATGAAATATATGTAGTCAGAAGAAAGAATGCAGTCTTGGCATTGGCAGCAAAATGGATGGATGTGGAAGACAGTATAGTTAAAAATTATATACAGAAAGACAAGTATTATTGCTCTCTCATATATGGAAGCTTAAAAAAGTTGCCTTGAAAGTAGACTAGTAATTACTAGTGATTGAGAAGGGTATGTGATGGAGTGAAGGGTGGAAAGAGAGGTTAAACTTTATAAGGACACATGAATGCACACATGGAAACATCTCACTAACTTTTTTTGTGTGTACGGTACTGGGGATTGAACCCTGGGCCTTTTCATTGAGCTACATCCTCAGCCCTTATTTTACATCTCCCCCCCGCCTCTTTTTTTGGGGGGTACTGGGGATTGATCTCGGGTCCTTGCACTTGTGAGGCAGGCGATGGCATCACTGAGCTAAATCCCTGGCCCTTTTATTTTACATCTTAAGACAGGATCTTACTGAATTGCCCAGACTAAGCCCAAATTTATAATCCCCTGCTTCAGTCTTCCAGAGCTTTGAGATTACAGCAGTGCACTGCCACACCTGGCTACACTAACTTTGTTAAGATGTACAGTTAATACATTTTAACTTAAAAATTATAACAAATATACTTAATATTAAAACATGAAAACTTTTAGTTTGGGGAATATGACAAGTATGGCTGCTGTGAACACTTTCTGCACTGAGCTATAGATTCTAGTCATTGTAGTCTGGTAAAGTAAAGCTATATAAACTGTGTTTACTGGAGAGGCAGAATGAAAACTTAATATTTGTAGATGATGTAGTTATGTTTATAGAAATTCCAGAGCAATCTATAGATAATTGCTGGCCTGGTTAGACCAGTGACTGTAAGTAAAAATTTTGTATATCTGTGTATTAGTAATTATGCAAAAATGAAACATGATTTACAGTCTTATTTACAAAATAAGTATAGGAATAAATCTAAAAATTCTTATGTAATATCTCTGCAGAAAATAAAACTTAATTGCAAAACATTTAAAGAATGATGAAATAGAGAAGTGCCACATTTCATAATTTGGAATACTAACCTTTTGGGGTGTGCTGGGCACCTCGCCTGGGTGCTTTTGCCTGCTAGACCAAAGCTGTACCATGGGCTGTATGCTCAGCAGCTGGTGTTCAGTGATGCTGGGATTGGAACCCACGGCCTTCCACATACTAATATGCACATGCTTACCACCGAGTTGCTTCTCCAGCCTGGATGTTTTTATCTTTTCTTGCTCATTAATGAATAGATTCAGTACAGTACAAATCAAACTTACAGTTTTTTTAAATGCAAAGAAAATAGTTTTATTTGTATATCAGAATCTAACAAATGAAGACATAATAAGGTCAACAGAGCTGATGACATCATGGAAAGCTTTAGATGTCTAATCCCAACCCATCTAGACTCGCTGGGCCACACAGCAGCAGCTCTGGTGCACGCCCACCTGAGCACAGGCGTGTCCAGCCGACAGCACTGCCATTCCCTCATCAGTCCTCTGTCTTTCTACCACTTTCGTTTTGGAGAATTACACAAAATAATTTTGAAATTTATATGGAAATACAAAGGATTAAAAATAGTAAAAGCTCCTGTGGAAGGACAAGGTGGGAGGACTTGCTGTTCTACATTATCAAAGCACTGGAGGGTTAAGATGACTTAATATTGGCTGAAAACTAGACAAATATACTAATGGACAGAGCCACACAATACATACAGTGGATTTATGATTGATTTATAAGAAAAGAGGCAATCCAAATGTTGTTGGAAAAGGATGGCGGTTTGTATAAATAATACAGGGAAAATTGGATTCTGGTGAAGAAAACAAAAACCCTGCACCTCACTTCACACTGTACAGAACTTATTTGAAGGGTAAAGTAAGGCTTTTGGGAGATAATGTGGGTACTATAATGGTTTCATAGTTCATTAGATACATCATGAGGAGATTTACGTGTCTGACGTATCTGGAAACAAAAGAAGATAATGTGGGAGAGAGGTTTGGGAATAAGCAGGTAGGCCTTGCATACTAAGTAGTCTGGGCTGTATTTTCAACATTATAAAGTTTGATCCGGAGGCTGTTCAGTTTCTTTTTTTTTAATCCACTTGTAGAATTTAATTTAGATTATAATTTTGTTTCTAACCATCTTTGAGACTTTATCATCTGGAAATTCTTGTACTACAAAACAGAACTTAATAAGCAGGACATGGTGGATTTCAAGTGGTGTTGAATTTGGTTTTGTTTCCATATGGCGAGTGTAATGATGTGTCCTTTGATTAAAATCTTTCACCCATTTTTAGATTTGTTGTTTGTCTTTGTATTGTTCAGTTGTGATGATTCTTTATGTATTTTGACCTGAGACTTTTATTAAAAATGCAAACATTTTCTTCTTTGGATTGTCTTTTTCTTTCTTGATTGTGCCTTTTGAAGCAATAAAGTGATGTTTGTTCCGTATTGCTGGGTGTCAGATCCAGGGGTAGGCAAGCTGTGCCCCTGAGCTACACGAAGCAGCTTGGATTTAAATTTAGATCAAGTCCATTTTATTTTTCCTCCTATGTTTCTTTCTACCTCTCTTAGTTGCTGTGCTTTTACATGGTTGTTATTTTTCCTGAGTACAACACTGATTTCTGTAAGTCACTTCATATTTCTTCTCCTTTTTTTTTTTTTGGTACTGGAGATTGAACTCAGGACCTTACGCTTGTGAGGCAGGCATGGTGCCACTGAGTTAAATCCCTGGCCTGCTTCATATTTAATGAAGATATTTCTGTGGTAGTTATTTTATTAGCATTAAAGACTGATAGAAATTATTGTATCAATTTATAAGTTTTTCTTTCATTTAACGCATTTTTAATTTTCTTGAAAATTTTTTCCAGCTCTATAGTGTCCACCCTCCTTGCTCTTATGGATGGATTAGATAACAGGGGTGAAATTGTTGTTATTGGTGCTACAAACAGACTTGATTCTATTGATCCTGCACTCAGGAGACCAGGTCGGTTTGACAGAGAATTCCTTTTCAATCTGCCTGATCAAAAGGTAAGAGTTTTTGTTTTCAACATGTTAAAATTTATATATAACTTAGTTATAAAATGTGTGTGTATGTGTGTGTGTGTCTATATACTTTTGAGGGTGATATTTTATGAATTTTTATTGTTTGGATGCTTAATCTTTTATTAAGTTATTGTGGATGCTTACTTGCTGTTTATTTCTCTAGGTTGTAGCACTTATTTGGTAGCTGTCTCTAACTAAAGTAACTTTTTCTCATAAAATGATGTTTAGTGTATGGGATGGTTTTCAGTAAGGAGCCAGTACCCAGATTCTCACATTGAGGATGGGGGCAGTGTTGGGAATTGAACATACACTTTGTCATGTTTACCACCACCTCTAGATTGAACCCAAGCCCTTGAAGCTGTATCACTGAGTTACATTGCCAGCCTAAGATTTTAGAGTCGTAACTAATTAATTAGGAGATAATTTAATTAAAAGGATATAATGTTATTATAGTATAGTTTTTTTTAAAAAAAGAATGTATTTTCAGATAGAGTACTAGCATATATAATAGTCACCCATGATATACAATGTGGTTTACTATTATACGCAAAGCTCTTTTACTAATTCTTCTTGAAATTTTTGTTAGATTGGGTTTGAGAGAGAGATTTAGAGGATGTGCTATATTTGAATGTATATTGTTGTATGGTTTTGGTCTTAGCTCTTCATGTGAAATGCCTGGTGTAGGCACATAGATGTGAAAGGCTTAGTGACTAGGACTATAGAAACCACAGCAAAATGAAAGCCTTCCTGTATAGGACAGGTGATGCCCAACTTGACATCTGTCTGCACAGCCCTTCTTGTCAGTTGTTGAGTCAGGTGCCGGGTTTACCTTGTCAGGATGGGACGCAAAGCATGTACAGCTCCCTTTCACTGTCCAAGTGCTGTTTGTACAAATATACCCCAGTACTTAGGAGGGGTTTAGTTGTATGAGACAGGGCCAAAGTCTGTTTCTCTTTCTTTTTCTTTTTCTTTTTATCCTGAAGACTGAGGTTTAGTTTAGCCTTTTTGTGTTTTTGGTGGTACCAGGGATCAAACTCTGGCCCTTGCACTTGTGAGGCAGGTGGCGGAACCACTATGCCAAATCCCTGACCCCTGAGGTTTTAGTTTAGAAAAAATAATTTTACATTAACATCTTGTGTCTTAAGAAAAACACAAAAACAGCTTCTGATAATAGTTTTCTATTGAAAGGTAAAATCTGCATTTGCTGTGTTTCTGCATAGCTGTGATCTTTGCTGTTTGTTGTGTGCATGCTAATCATTTGTGAAACCTGGGCTGATCCTGTGTGGGTCTGACGGTAATGCGTGCAGTGCTCAGGTCATCTGTTTATTTCCTGTGTCCGATGTGACAGGATTCAAAGCAGAAAGCAGCTGTTCATAAGCATAAGTTGCCAGGGCTGACATCTGTTTCGGCATAGAAAAATGTCATCTTGTTTGTAACATCTAACAAGAATGATTCCAAATTTTTGGCTCTGCAGTATACAGGAAACATACTCAGTTCTAGGAGACACAGCCAATATTCCTTTTTGCACAGGAAAGCCATTTCTGTGATTCCCTAGTTGTCCCCGTAGAACAGGCATCAGGATCTCTATGCCTGTCACAACCCTCACAGTTCAGGCACAGACCACACAAGGGGCAATAAAATATTATAACTCTTACCATTTAACCAAGTAAAAGGTTTTTACAACTAAATCTTGGTTCCAAATTTTAGTAATCTCATTAGGTCTTTATCAGCATAAAATAGTGTATATCTTCTATATGTAGTAATGCTTCTCAGGTTTTCTTTTCCTTTGTTGTGTAGTAGTCATTATCAGCATCATCACTGATACTTGTGTTTGTGTTTGTAAATTCTGACAAATGAAGCTCTTGAATTTGTCTTTGATTCTTAGCAGTAAAGGTAGCCACATATATTGGCATACACTTGTAATCCCAGCACTCTGCGAGGGTGAGGTAGGAGGATTACAGGTTTGAGCCCAGCCTGGACAATTTAGTGATTTTACAAACTGTCTTAAAAAAAAAGAAAAAAGAAAAAAGACAAGGATGGGGATTTAGCTCAGTGGTTCTGCTGACTGCTGCGCAAACTCAGGGTCCTGAATTCAATTTCTAGTACCCAAAAAAAAGGAGATGAGCTGGGGATGTAGTTCTGCAGAAACTCAGGTTAATCTCCAGTAACAACACCCCCCTCCTCAAAAAAAAGCAGAGGAAGATGCTTTCTCTTAGGGAAACCATATGACCTATGTACCATATAGAGTAAAATGAATGATGAAGATCTCTGAATTTCTTCATGTAAATAATTTTCCCTTCATTCTATATTGATTTTAGTAAAAGAAAGGTAACTGGTAGAGTTATAGAGAAAGCATATTAAATGTTTGAGACCTGACAACAATTTACTGACTTTAGGTAATTTCAATTCTTCAAACATTTATTTACTTATTTTGTAAAATGAGGCATATGTATGTATGTATGTATGTATGTATATGCGGTACCAGGATCGAATTCAGAACTTCATGCTTGCTAGGCAGGTGCTGTGCCACTAAATCCCTGGCCCAGAATAGATCTTTTTTGAGGTTATCTTCCAGTTTACATTTTGTTTTATGTTTTTCATGCTCCACTGTCTTTTTTTTTTTTTTTTTTTTTTTTTTTTTTTTTTTTTTTTTTTTTTTTTTTTTTTTTTTTTTTTTTTTTTTGGTACTGGGGATCAAACAGTGGTTCTTGGGCTTGCGAGTCAGGTGCCAGCACCACTGAGCCAAATCCTGGGCCCAATCCACTGTCTTATAATGAAGGCTTCATGCTAATAATGAAGTCTAAGTAGACTCTTAATGTTATCTCATAGAATATATATGCTTTCAGTATGATGTTTCTTTCAGACTTTCATTTATAGCTTTTAAGGTTCTGTTGAGACATATAACTTCAGGTTGGAAGGAAACATGTTACATTGGTTTCATTTTGGTAGCTAAGCTCGGGACTTTGAAGTTGTAATTGAATTGCTTCTGGGCCTTTTGGCTAAAATCAAGTGTAGAAGTTGTTATTGAAATGATAGCTATTGCTGTCAGATTGTGCCAACTTTCTAAGTTGTATTTTGATGAATTTCAAGTTGTTCTTTTTGTTTTGATTACTAGACCACAAATTGTTTAAGTCAATAACAGTGTCTTGGTTACAGTTTGCTTTTTTATATGCATTGAGGGAATAAGGATATTCTTTTTTGGGGGGTCCTGCTGTAGATCGGACCCAGGATCTCATGCATGCTGGGCAAGCACTTTGCCTCTGAGTTCACACTTCCAGCCTAAATATTTACTTTTAAAAAGTGCTGTTCACTTTCCACCCTCTAAAAGAAAGCAGATGTGAAAAAAGAATTCTGTTCCCACTCTGGGCTGTACTGTCAGATGATTGTTGATTTTTCTAGACTGGTGTTTCTTTTTTGTTTATTGCAAAACCAAAATGATAAAATTTCGATTGTGCTATGCAGTCAGATTTAAGCCAGAAAATTCTGTTTTGGAGAAAAATAATTAAGGCAGAATTATTTAAAATTATGTGTAATTTTCCTCATTGTCTGTACCTTATACATAGAGTTCTTTGAAATGTAATATTTGTATAAGCTGGGCATGGGGGCACACACTTGTAATCCCAGCTCCTGGAAGATAGAGGCAGGAGGATTGCTGCGAGTTTGAAGCCAGCCTGGGCTACACAGTGAGTTATAAGCCAGCCTGGACTACATATTGAGACTCTTGTCTCCAAAAACTGAAAACAACAACAAAAACAAAAAGTAAAAAAAAAATTTCATTTAAAAGTTTTAATTATTATAACTCACTAAGGTTTTTTTGTTTATATGCTTTTAAATGGTAAAAATGATATGATGGAAAAGTGAAGTTTAGTTTTTAAATGATAGTCCTGGGTGACTCACTTAGCCACATGCACTACTAATGA